AAGGTGAAAATCTGTGCTTGGTGCACAAACTGCAGGTGTTTTTAATTTTTGATTAGAAATAGAACTAGGATTTGGAGAAGTTAAAGAGATGAGAATTTGTGATGCAGGAGAATATTCAACAGAGCGTTCTAAAATTTATAAAAAAAAAAAGAAATAGTAAAGATGAATACAGAGTTATAAAAATTTTAAATGCCTACTTATATAAGTACATTCAATAAAATAAATGGAAAATTGAAGGGACTATGTATGTGGATGTTTTACTTAGAATTTAGTTAGTTAGTCAGTCAGTCAATCAACAACAACGTACAACATTGTACGTACGTATCTCTCTGTCAAAGTTGCCATACAATATTAGCACACATGAAATTGTAACTTCCAATCCCAGATTATTTTATACCTTTTATCCCGAGAATTAACTCAGCTTGGAGCCCCCTTTGGAGCTATTGCCGGTCTCAAGCTAGAATAAAGAAGGAGGGTTAGGCGTAGGGTTAGCAACCCTAACCCGTAGAAAACTAACTCGCTAAAAATAAGGCTAACTAGAAAAATAAATTCGAACCATTTAAAAAAATCCTGATGATTCATTGTTTCACTCCAAATTAGAAAACCTACGACTAGCCTTTTTCATAAAAATTAATACCGTTACTACTCCTATTACTCTGACAAATATTTAGGTGATGAAAAAATTCATTTCACTGAGGTAAAATGATGTGCCAACTAGAGATGATGCATAAATGTGCTAGGTTTTACGTTGCTTATGACGACTAGCTTACTTACTTACGCCTGTTACCCTCAATGGAGCATAGGCCGCCCACCAGTTTTCTCCAACCAACTCTGTCCTGGGCTTCCATTTCCATTTCTGTACAATTTTTGTTCATTCTTCTCATATGTTTCTCTATTTCTCGGCGTAATATGTTTCTTGGCCTTCCTGTTTTCATTTTGCCTTGAAGGTTCCATATGAGGGCTTGTCTCGTGACGCAGTTCGGTGCTTTCCGCAATGTGTATCCTATCCACTTCTACCGCTTCTTCCTGATTTCCAACTCCACTGGAATCTGGTTTGTTTTCCCCCGCAGTACGTTGTTGCTGATGGTGTCTGGACAACGAATCCGAAGTATTTTGTGTAGACAACTTTTATCTTCTGGATGATGCCTTTCGTAGTTCTCCAGGTTTCCGCTCCATACAGTAGAACTGTCTTCACGTTTGTATTGAAAATCCTGATTTTGATGTTGATTGATATCTGTTTGGAGTTCCAGATATTTTTCAACTGTAGAAATGCAGCCCTCGCTTTGCCAATCCGCGCCCTCACATTTGCATCCGATCCACCTTTCTCGTCGATGATGCTGCTCAGATATGTAAAGGTGTTAATGTCCACCAAGGCACCTCCATCAAGAGTGATTTGGTTGGTGCATGTTGTGTTGCATTGGAGAATTTTGCTCTTTCCTTTATGTATGTTGAGACCTACTGCTGCAGAGGCTGCTGCTACACTGGTCGTCTTCTCTTGCATTTGTTGTTGCGTGTGAGATAGAAGAGCCAAGTCATCTGCGAAGTCCATATCGTCCAGCTGCGTCCTAACTGTCCAGTTGATACCGTGCTTCCCTCCAGATGTCGACGTCTTCATAATCCAGTCGATGACCAGGAGAAAGAGAAAGGGTGAGAGTAAACAACCTTGCCTGACACCAGTCTTCACCTCGAAAGAGTCTGTTAGCTGTCCTCCGTGTACGATTTTGCAGTTGAATCCATCATAAGAGTTCCGTATAATGTTAACTATTTTCTCAGACACACCGTAGTGTCGAAGAAGCCTCCACAGTGTTTTCCTATCCATGCTATCGAATGCTTTCTCATAGTTGATAAAGTTGTTGTAGACTAGCTTACTGACAGATAATATGAAAACACAAAATACCAAGAAAATAGTAAAATTATTTATATCAATTATAATCATATCACATTAATTAATTACTTACCATTTGCTAATTGTTTACTAAAACTAACTTCTTCTTTTATACGAGCTAATTCACTGCATACCAATCGATAATCCGCTTCACGAAATGCCATTTGAGCATTTAATTCACTTAATTTACGGTTGAAAATCATTTCGTTCCGTGGTAAGATGTGATTCTAGCTTACTGATCATGATCAGAATCAGTTGCTTTTGTTCGACTAGCTAATTCCTTTAATTGTAGCAGTTCACCTAATTTCATGTATAATTCTTCACGTAGAACAGATACCTAGAGAAAATTTCAAATGTTTAAAAAGAAATTGTTTAGTTTTATTATAGGATATAATCGTTTGGACACTAATATACGATTACATACAGTCAGTCAGTCAGTCAGTTGCAACGTAGAACTTCGTACACAAGTACATCAGTTCATGTCGCCATACCACATCAGCACAGAGGTATAATTGTCAATTCAAATCCAATAGTAGAAGAGGTTGTAAAAGTATTAGAAGTAATCGGAGAGGTTAGGATTAGAAGATATTATTCAAGAAGTATGATTAAATGAGATAAGTTTAGAAAGTAAAAACTAGAGGTGGTGAAGAACCCAGAAGATTAGGATTTGAGAGAACACAAAGAATAAATGCACCTGCGCCATTGTGAATGATTTTGAGCCATGTCATTCAAGGTCTCTAACCACCAACTACTATTATCTCGCGGACCCCAACCAGGTAGTCGACAACTACCGACATGGCTCAGTTCACTTATCAATGACTTCATGGATTTCTGCCATGTTTTGGTTTGGCCACCCCTAACTTTCTTCCAACCTACTCCTACACTACAAAACAAAGCTCGTCGAGGCAGTTGGTGGTTAGGCATACTCAGCACATGTCTCAACCACCTCAACTGATGAAGTTTCACTACTTCATCTATTGATCTGCCATCCTTACCTACCACCCGTTTCCTAATAACAGCGTTGCTCACTCGGTTGTCCCAGGATATACGAGCAATGCTTCGAAGACACCTATGATCGAAAACCAGTAACCTACGAATATCTCCTACTCTCACTGGCCATGTTTCACAGACATAAAGTAAGACGGAGCGAACTACTGCGCAGTACACTCGTACTTTAGTCAGCAAACGGATATCTCGCCTACGCCATAAGTGACGCAGGTTGGCAAAAGCCAATCGAGCCTTCTGTATCCGTGCTGAGATTTCGTCAGTCACCAGGCCATCGGCACTGATGAGACTCCCAAGATAAGTGAAGCGGTCTACACGTTCGACTACTTCACTCCCTATCACTAGTTCAGGTGCCGATGAAACCCAATGTTGAAGCAACATTTTGCATTTGAGGGGGAAAACCGCATCCCGAACATGCTTGCATTGTTTCTTAGGGTGGTGCATACATACACACAATAAGAAAAAACAGATGTCAATTTTAAGTTAGGCAGAAATATTTCAATAAATTTGGTGTGTGTTTTTTTCTTTTTAGCATTTATACAAATGTTCATTCCATCCTGTTCAATAGTCTAAATGTTATTAAGTTAACTGTGGAAAAATGATGTTATGGGTAAAAGATAGGTGTTGTGCATAACAATAAAGCAGTCTAGGATACATTCACACAGTTTTTTTTTCTACAAATTCCTTCCTTATTAAATGAATTCAGAGCCCAAGATAAATTCTTACTGCCTTTGATAAATTTTAAGAAAAACACATAGCTTAAGTTTACAGTATCTGAATCTGCTCTAGGAACTAAATTTACACTGGAAAAAAGTCACAGTAATTTTTTAAAGTGTTTAATTCATTTTTATTACAAATCAGTCAGTCAGTCAGTCAGTTGCAACGTAGAACTACGTACGTATGTACATAAGTTCATGTTGCCATATCACATTAGCACAAAGATGCAGATGTCAAGTCAAATCCCATAGTGATAAAGATAGTAGGGGTATAAATGGTAATGAAGACTAGGGTTCGAAGATATTATTCAAGAAGTATAATTCAGTGAGATAAGAGTTAGAAAGACAAAGGTAGAGGTGCTGACGAATCCAGAAGATTAGAATTTGAGAGAGCTCAAAGAATGGATGCACTTGCGCCATTGTAAACGATTTTGAGCCATGTCGTTCAACGTCTCTAACCATCGATTATCATCTCGCGGACCCCAACCAGCTAATCTACATCTACTAACATGACTCAGTCCACCTGTCGATGACTTCATGGATTTCTGCCATGTTTTGATTTGGCCGCCCCTAGCTTTCTTCCAACCTACTCCTACACCACAAAACAAAGCTCGTCGAGGCAGTCGGTGGTTAGACCTACACAACACATGTCCCAACCACCTCAACTGATGAAGTTTCAGTACTTCATCTATTGATCTGCCATCCTTACCTAGTACTCGTTTCCTAACGACAGCATTGCTTACTCGGTTGTCCCACGATATACGAGCAACGCTTCTTAAACATCTATGATCGAATACTAGTAACCAACGAACATCTTCTACAAATGCTAGTAATTATTAATTATATGGCCATAATTTTACATTTTAAAATAACTTAAGTTCTTAGAAGAACTGAAGCAAACAGAGTTTGATCCCTGGAAAATAAAGAAAGAGATTTACTTTCTCTTAACAATAACTGAACTTTATGGGTTTTTTTTTAAAAACAAGTTTAATTAACGAACGATACATGTTAAATCCTTGTAAAACATGAAATTATATGTTCTGAGCAGGAACGATTCAATTAACCCATTCAAGTATCATAGTTAGATGAGGGTTTTTCTTTTATCAAAACCTTATGTTTAATCAAAACATGAAACTTACTTCTTTTTTCAATCGGTCAAGTTCATTTCGTTCAACAGTTGGAGTTTTATCATTCGATGATGGAAAATCAGATGCTTTTATGCATCCATTCAATTTTGTATCTAATGAAGTTGATCGAGATAAGCAACTGGTTAATTCTAAAAGTTATCATAAAGATTACGATGAAATGAACTTACTATTTGAATGCGAATTATTTTTATTGACATTGTTATTACTGTATGTTGACACTAAAAATTTCATAACCTACTTGAGTAGTTGCTTTTTACTTACCATGATCATACTGGTGTTGTGTACAAATAAGATCGAATTGATCTAATATCTCTTGAGTAAGTTCATCGTCATCCATGTGTACAGAAGATTGTTTTTTTCAGATTTTAATCAATGTAAATTAACCAAGTAGAGGATTATGTCTGTCGTTAAAAAAAAAGTGAAAAAGTATTTAAATTAGAGATGATTCCAAAAATAATCTTGTTTATTTATCAGTTATAAGATTTTCATAAAAAAAATTTGTCAAAAAAAAAAAACAGATTGACTAAACTTTACAAGTCAGTTAAGATTTATAAACTGAAAAATTTTTCTCCTTTAGTAAAAACTCACTAGTTGGGTGATTGTTAGAGTTAAGTAACCAAAAAAATCTCATCAAACAACATTAGAAAGTATCAACATCTTCTGATAGAAGTGGATTTTAAAAAAACACGTGCCACCAGTGGTATGTTGAATGTAGTTAAGTTAAGTTAAGTTAAGTTAACGCTAAATTACCAACTTTACATCAGAATCTAATTAACTGTTTGTAGTTGAATATGAAGTGACCAAAAAAGAAATAAAGTACACCAAGAAATATGTAAGCAACTGATTTAATCTTAATGAGATACCTTAAAAATGAGAAAATTTGTCGCGATGTGTACTGTGCATAAGTCATCAGCGTTGATAATGTTTATTGATAAACATATGCTTAAATATCTATGTGAACCTTCTATACTCATCAACTTAGTATAAATGTTGGATATTCGCATATTGTCCTTTAAATTCCGTAAACAACATCCTGGCTAGATGACTGACGAAATCTCAGCACAGATACAGAAGGTTTGATTGACTTTCGCCAACCTGCGTCACTTATGGCATAGGCGAGATATCCGTTTGCTAACCAAAGGACGAGTGTACTGTGCAGCACTTCGCTCCGTCCTACTATACAGATGCGAAATATGGTCGAGACGAGAGTCATCAATGGTTAGAGACCTTGAACCACATGGCTCAAAATTGTTTGCAATGGCGCAGGTGCATCCACTCTTTGAGCTGTCTCAAATCCTAATCTTCTGGATTCGTCAATACCTCTGCCTTTGTCTTTATAATCTTATCTCACTGAATTATATTTTTTGAATGATATCTTCGAACTCTAGTCTTCTTTATTAACATTAATACCTCTACTATCTTTATCACTATGGGATTTGATTTGACATTTGCGTCTCTGTGCTAATAATGTGATATGGCAACATGAACTTATGTACATACGTACGAAGTTCTACGTTGCAGCTGAATGACTGACTGAAATATGGTCGGTAAGAGTAAAAGATGTTCGTAGGTTGCTTGTCTTCGATCATAGGTGTCTCCAAAGCATTGCTCGTGTATCCTGGGACAACCGAGTAAGCAATGCTGTTGTTACGAAACGAGTTCTAGGTAAGGATGGCAGGCCAATTGATGAAGTAGTGAAACTTCATCAGTTGAGATGATTGGGACATGTGTTACATATGCCTAACCACTGACTGCCTCGTCGGGCTATGCTTTGCGATGTAGGAATAGGTTGGAAGAAAACTAGGGGCGGCCAAACCAAAACACGGCACAAATCGACGAAGACATTGACAAGTGGACTGAGCCATGTTGGTAGGTGTAGACTACCTGACTGAGGTCCGCGAGACGAAAGTAACCGATGGCTAGACACCTTGAATAGCATAGCTCAAAATCGTTTGCGATAGTGTAGGTGCATTCATTGTGTTCTCTCAAATCCTAACCTTCGGAGTTTCTTATCACATTTATCGTTTTCTTTTTAAATTTATTTCACTAGATTCTACTTATTGAAAAGTTTCGCCGAACCCTACAATTTCCGATTACTGCTAATACCTTTACTAGCTCTACTACTATGGGATTTGAGGTGACAATTGCATCTCTGTGCTAATGTGGTATGACAACTTGAAATGACGTACGTACGTACGTACGAAGTTGCACGTTGTTGTTGATTGATTTGATTGATTGATTGGTAGCGAGTTACCATATCACATTGGCAAAGCGAAGTGAAAGTAATGAAATAAATAAATAAATAGCTATGATAATGACAATAACTGGACATTCGGAATGTGCTCTGAAAACACAGAGTGGAAAAGCGTGTATAACGGAACACTGTTATCAGTGCAGAAAGGCAGACAAAATGGAGACCATGGAAATAGAATAATAAGCAGCTAGTCCGAATATATTCAGGAAGTGGTACACAGTTTTTAATATAAAAACTTACCATTAGGAACCTAACTATAAACGTTTACGAAGGTTACTAGGACTAAGCACTTTATCGGTCGGTAGCAATTCCTCAAACACTAAAAACTAGGTAGCACCGATAAAAAATGGAAAACTTGCAACATTTCCCTGATATTATGCACCTCTTAAAAAATTTAGTTTGCCAATTATGGAATGAAATACTTGTGGTGCTACCAAGCCGAGTATTTTTATGGGCCATTCTGTGATTAACAAGATATTACTCTCAGGACACTAAGGAATCTGTTAACATTGAGTGGGTTGCATCTAACTGGGAAATGATAACTTTAAGTTTGAATGGTAGAGACTCTAAGCCTTCCAACTCAGAAATCCATAATTTTTCATTACACTATAACAAGACAGTGCACTGATTCTGAAGCAATCAGGTTGAAGTCCATAAATTTAGGTTTACTTATTGTAGTTAATTATTGAGTTTGAAATCTGTGTTGACTGTTACTCATCTACCAAGTAATTTGAATACAGTACTTTCACGGTATTAAGGAAACATGTTCGATGAGAACCACTTTACTGCGCAGTAAAAATTAGGCTGGGTGAAATGGCATGATACTTCCCTCAATGGCGATTGTACAAATCCCAAGAAACCAATAAAAGACAAGTAATAGGAGGAACCAGGGGGAATTTCGGAGAACACGGTGCTAATTTGGGGTAATGATTTTGGCAAAAGAAAAAGCGAACAACTTAGGTGACATAGAAGGGAGAGTAAGGTTGACGATTGCGAGATATTTCTGCTCAAAGGGGAGGTTTTGGAGGGACATTTCACCACTTGTCACGGACTAAGGGAAAAAAGTAAAAGTTTGGTGCACTTTATACCAACTTTTCAGGATGATTTTCTCTGCAATTTCCACAACAATTCGGCTTTATCCCCCATTTTAGGTTTGTTTAGGATACCTTACACGCACTACTTCAATTACTTTTCAAATAATTTTATACTCTCTGATTTTAGATATTTTAGTAGCCCAAAACAGAAAGCTGACGCACGTCTGTTGAAGGAAACTGAAGTTCCCTAGTCATGATTAGGGAATAAATAAACTGGTACGTCAATTGAAGTAAATGATACAATTATTGTGTCCACTAATTAAGCTCTTCTATAGAAACAACCATTACTAACGGAACTACAGTAGGGACACTTGTAACTTTAGCCACTGCTAAGTTTGAGTTTAGCCTGAGACTACCTAGTGTGCTGAGAGTGTGGAGTAATATGTGAGGTTATCTCGAAGAGGATGACAAAGAGAAAGTGGATCGAGCCACAAAGCACATAAAATCCACTCACTTTCAGTATAGAAAGCAGCCGACAAAAATCAGAGATAACAAAGGCATGATATTTAAACAAACTGATAATCTGAAATAGGGGTTGGTAGCGTAATCTTTCGAACGCGTTCCACGCGATCCAAATGAATTGCAGTGTCACAACGTCCTTGAGCAAGATCATTCAATATCTTATTCACAATTCTGGTCTTTTAGTGTGTTTCCTAGGTATTTGGTGTATCCATTTTATGGCAGTTTAACCACATTACTGCACCAATTCTAGTCAGCCGACAGTTATTTATGTATTTTTATGTCCTGTAATTTGAGTACTTTTGATTCAGGTCAGTATGGATTCAGAATACTAGCAGCTATCTCATTGCCAGGTTGGAGATCGGATAGTTGTGATGTAGAGGATAAGAAGGAGAAGACTTAAGAGCTGAGTGAAGAGATAAATAAATTGACCAACTGGTAGTGAAGGTTGTGCAAAAAGACCAAAGTGTAAGTGAAGGAAAGGAAACAGAGGTGATAAGCGAGATAGATTAATTTAGTGGTCATAGCGTTAACTAAAAACTAACGAGGGAAAATGCTGAGATCATAATTGAATATTGCGGAAATATAATGAGCTCCAGTCTATACCTATTTCTCGCGCTTACAGTAGTCTGGAGATATTTTGGATATTCCGAGTGTGACAGCGAGTTAGTGATGACCGTAAGACTTAACCAGCATGAAGTTTTAGCCTGTGTGTGAATTTGGCAAACACTCCTCTGATAGCCTGCCCTGTCCTGCAGATTCTTGTTGCCTTACCTTACTCTAACGAGTTATGTAGTATATAACAATAATATATCAAGAATATGCAATGAAAAATCTGATAATGAAGGTTCATGTTGAAATATTCAGTACCCATGTAAGTGGAAAAGATGTGCACAGACATTTCATACATATGTACATATGTCCAGTGCGGCTGTGATAGAAATTATGCACGAAAGGATTTTTTACAATGCATATGTAAATATAAAAAGTTATAAAAACCGCCTCTATTTAATGCAACAAAAATTGAAGTTGTACAACACAGAACACAGCTTATAAAATGCTCTACACACCGAAAACCTTGCAGTTTTTGAAAAACTACACGACGAAGAACTATACAGGGTTGTTTGTGCGCAGTTTCCAGTGTTCAACACAATGAATCACAACGTACAAAAACAGGTGTTGTAAGTCTCAAGGCGTGCTGTTTAAAAACAGTTTTTGACTAAGGTTCAGTAGAAACAGGTTAAACTTAACTCGTCGCATTTGTTAGCCAGTCATTAAAGGAGTTTAGATGGATATCTATTGAAACAGAGGAAAGGTCAGATAATTTGCCTGGAAGTCAAAGTCTCATGCCACAAACAAGTTCAAGTGGAGCACGTCCGTCGTTGGGTTTTATTGCGCTGTCGATTCTGAGTAACTCAAATGGAAGAGCGTCAGTTTGTAGTGCCTCCACACAAACTTGAGTTTGCTCATATTTAATTTCATTGAGCCTTTTTGATTAACTTATGTAACCAAGCTATTTGTATAGCAAAAACCCATATGTACCATTGGTATTTTTTATTGTCTGATTTGTATGAGCTTGTACGACTCAGCATTGCTTACACCTACGCACTTACTCATCCTTTTCGCTTCAAAGTTAATCTCTTAGTATCCCTATGAGCTCAGATGATTTGTCTCGCTGGCTTTCGACTTTGTCAATCATTTGTCGCTTGTATTCAGGTGTGTGCATGCCCATTTCGCTTGTCACATGCCTGTCTTATTTTTATCGGACTATATATTCTTAGTCATACTCTATCTCTTTGAGTTGGCTCACTAGCCTTCTCCAGTCCACGTCGCTTCATTCGTTCTATTCACTGCTTCTCCGCTTTGCTTTGTGGTGTGTCCCGAATAAACGTATTCATTACTTTGTGTTCACCTTCTTATTTACAAAACGTCAGACGCTATTTAGTAACGATTGTCTGGACGAGCTAATTACGAAGATTAAGAACACGTAGAAACTGGCCACCACAAGTTCACTGTGATACGCTTACAGTTAAAAGTCAGGTTTTGAACAGTCAGTGGAATCGTTCTACCGAACCGCTAGCTTGCGGATGGTAGGCGTTCGTACGGAATAGTCCGATCACTTAATGTTGTAAGACGGCGCCGAGGTACATATTCAAACCGGCGTCCAGCTGGAGGACAATCAAGACTTGCGAACTGTCACTCCGTGGACGTAGGCCACCATTTTAGTAGTACCATTCTTGATAATCTAAAACTTCTATTTCCTTCTGAATGTGAACATAGATACTCCAACCGTGACTGTCCTATTTACAGTCTTGGATGTGGGATCAGTTTTATTTTAACCTGCACTGCACATGCGATGTTTAGGTTCTGAAGAGGATTATAGCGTGAAGGATACACTTCTCATTATACTTTCTGGATGGTGGTTAATGATTATGGTCTCCAGTTCAGATGCTCCCAACTAATGGAGTATCTAACAACAGCTTTAAAAAACTGGTCATCTTAGTCTTGCGAATTTCCATTACCATGAAACTAAATGTCCCTGAGATACTTGAACCTAATTAGCTTTGTTGATCTATTGGAAATTCGGAATTGGAAAGCGTAAACTGATTTGTCATTCTTGAAGCTAACGTCCGTTACTACCAACATTTGTTTGCATAGATAAACAAATAAATGCTTCACAGGAGACTATCTGTAATCGAGTTCGCTACATCCTTCTAGTTTTAATCGTAGATAACAAGTAAGTTACTCCAAAGCTTTGTTTTTAACATTTATACGAACTTTGTGATGTCAAGTTAATATCTAATAATAATAATGAAAAATAGTTTCAATAGTCCTGGCTGTGTTACTGTGAATGATATAAAACCTGATGTTCCAGAATGCATATTTTCTAACCTAATGACACGAAAACTGAATATATTTCATAATTCAACATTTCACTCATTGTACTGCGAATAGTCTTCAATAAATCACAAAAATGTTTCAATTAGATCTAAAAACTTGCTTTTTTCCACATCCAAAAGAATATCCTTAGAAAATCTTACAAGCTGATGACGTTATGGAGGGCAGACGATCATCACTAGCCAAAAGCAATTTTTAGATAAGTAACAAGCTAGCCTCTCAGCTCTAGAACGTACTCAGCATTC